CAGTGCCTGGTAGGTAGTAAGGGCTCCGGACACATTTACAGATCAGAGGTCCCAGACAAAGCTATGTCAGTGCTGAACAGTGCAAACTGGAATCACCTAGGGGCATTGTGTGTGTGTGTTTGTTTGTTTGTTTGATGAGACGGAATTTTGCCCTTGTTGCCCAGGCTGGAGTGCAACGTCGCCATCTCGGCTCACCGCAACCTCCGCCATTCTCCTGCCTCAGTAGGAGGGATTACAGGCATGTGCCACCACGGCTGGCTAATTTTGTATTTTTACTAGAGACAGGGGTTTCTCCAAGTTGGTCAGGTTGGTCTCGAACCTCTGACCTCAGGTGATCCACCCACCTCGGCCTCCCAAAGTGCTGGGATTACAGGTGTGAGTCCTGGCCACACCCAAGACCAATTAAATCACAGCCTCTGGGGGTGGAGTCTGGGCATCAGTATTTTCTGGAAGTTTCCCAGGAGTTTTCAGTGTGCAGCCACGTCTGGGAACTGTCTAGTCTAGAACTTTGTGTGCCTGAGGTCTGCGCTGGGAGAACTGGCTTTGAAAAGACACCGTCAAGCAGTCATTTTGTAGCTAGAGGTGAAGCAGATGGCGTCGGGGCAGAAGGGTGTGGGACCCGACGGGGGCTGCGGCTCCCAGGGGCCTTCGGGTCTGGCAACCACCGGCACCCCCAATCCCCCAGGCTGGGATGGAGCCACTGCCTGCACCCGAGGAGGCCTCCAGAGCAGGAGGCGGGAGCAGCAGCTCTGAGCCCGGCTTGGGCACCAGAGGGAGCTCGTGGGGACGCGCCACGGCTCCATCCCTGCAGCTGGTTCAAACTGGTTTGGGCAGGGTGCGGCCTGGGCGGGCTGCATTCCAGGCCCCAGGCTCGCGGCTGTCGGGGCCTCCCCAGGGGCTGCAGACCTGAGCCAGGGAGCAGCAATGGCAGGGCCCCGGGGCAGGCGCCCAGCACCCAGAGAGGCTGCGGAGGTGTTGAAAACCCCAACGCGCTTTGCGTAAAATCATGACTTGGCCTCCCACGGGGGTCCCGGACTAACGCTGGCAGCGCGGCGGAGCCCCTGGCTAGGGGTCACCCTCAGACATCAGCGCGCGTTAGAATCGGTGCCGAGCTTGTGAAGTGCAGGGGCCCAGCGCCCCCTCACCAAACAGCCTGAATCAGAACGTCCGGGGTGGGCTTCTGGGCGTCCGTCTGTTTAGCAAAATATTTTTAAGGGACAATCACACATTGAGGAAGAAAGGCTAGAAAGAAAATGATTGTCAACCCGCCAACCTGGCCCAGGGTGTGAATTGCTGGGACATTTGCGAGGGACAGAGACCCCTTCCCCAGACCTCCTCTCCCCAGGGAAGAGGATTCAGGCAATTGACACTTTTAGCTAATATCCCGGGTTTATCTATAGAGAGAGAGGCAATTTTGTTTTTCCTTTTTCTTTTCTCTTTTTCCTTTTCTTCTTTCTTTCTTTCTTTCTCTCTCTCTCTCTTTCTTTCTTTTTTTGAGACAGGGTCTGGCTCTGCCCCCCGGGCTACAGTGAAGGATTGCTCTTGGCTCACTGCAGCCTCGACCTCTGGGCTCAAGCAGTCCTCTCACCTCAGCCTCCCAAGTAGCTGGGACCACAGGCATGTGCCACCACTCCTGGCTAAGCTTTGTATTTTTTGTAGATACAGGGGTTTCACCATGTTGGCCAGGCTGGTATCAAACTCCTGGCCTCAACCGATCCGCCCGCCTCAGCCTCCCACTCCCAAAGTGCTGGGATACAGGCATGAGCCACAATGCTAAGCTGGCTTTTTTTTTTTTTTTTTTTTTTTTTTTTTTTTTAAATGAGTCATTTTAGACATTCACACAGTTTTGATATTGTTACAAACATCAGCCAAAGAAGTAAAACATTCCAAATATTGAAATCCCTCTCAGCCAAACACGAGGTCAGGAGTTCAAGACCAACCTGGCCAACATGGCAAAACCCCATCTCTCCTAAAATTACAAAAATTAGGAGTGGTAGCACGTGCCTATAATGCCAGCTATTTGGGAGGCTGAGGCAGGAGGATCACTTGAGCCTGAAAGGTGGAGGTTGCAGTGAGCCAAGATGGTATCACTGCACACCAGCCTGGGTGACAGAGTGAGACTCTGTCTCAAAAAAAAAAAAATTAAATCCCTCTTGGGCCAGGTGTGGTGGCTCACACCTGTAATCCCAGCACTCTGGGAGGCCAAGGCTGGTGGGTCACTTGAAACCAGGAGTTCGAGACCGGCTCCAAACCCGTCTCTACTAAAAATACAAAACTGAGCCGGGCTTGGTGGTGCTGGCCTCTGTAGTCCCAGCTACTCAGGAGGCTGTGGCAGGAGAATTGCTTGAACCCAGGAGGTAGAGGTTGCAGTGAGCTGAGATTGTGCCACTGCACTCCAGCCTGGACAACAAGAGAAAAAACTGTCTCAAAAAAAAAAAATGAAAAGAAAAGAAAAAGAAATCCCTCTCATTCCCCTCCCAGTTTCTTCTCCGCCACCCTAAAGGAGCCACTGTGGGAACGCGGGTGCCTCGTTCGCATGCACAGCTTTGTACTCTGCTCCATCTGTCGGTGTCCATAAACAATATACAGTGTGGTTCTGCGTGGTTTCAAAACCGTGCTAACGGCACAGTGCCCTGCAGAGCCTTCTGCTTTTTTTTCCTTAGCTTTATGTTTCTGAGATTTATCTGCCAGGAGAAGTTTGCTGTGCCCAGGTCAATTGGCCAATATGAGGCCAGTCCTGGGATCCTGTGGGAGATGCCAGCCAGCAGCTGGCACAGGCACGGGTCTGAGACTGGCTCCTAGGGGATGTTGAGGAGGGCTCGGAGCATCAGGGAAATCACAACAGTGACGAATGGCCAAGTGTGGGCTCAGTGAGTTCCTATAAAACCCTTGAGCACAAGCACTTGAGGCCCAAGTCTCTGCCAAGAATATTCCAGAAAATGACTTTGGTCTGAAGGCCTGGGCATTTGGATAGGGAGAAATGAACAGTGGGCAGATTTGGAAGTGGGAATTGTGCAGTGATGGACACAAAAGACATCAAATGTGTGTTGTTTAGGCCCCACCCAGGGTTGCCAACTACAATATCAATTCAGATTTAATGGAGAGGAAGGTGTGGGACAGCCTGTTTATTTATTTGCACCCTTGATACCAGCCCCCCTTTAAAAAAAATGGCTGGGCGCGGTGACTCACACCTGTAATCCCAGCATTTTGGGAGGCTGAGATGGGCGGATCACCTGAGGTCGGGAGTTCAAGACCAGCCTGACCAACATGGAGAAACCCCCTCTCTTCAAAAAATACAAAATTAGCCTGGTGTGATGGTGCATGCCTGTAATCCAAGTTACTTGGGAGGCTGAGGCAGGAGAATCACTTGAACCTGGGAGGTGGAGGTGGTTGTGGTGAGCCGAAATTGTGCCACTGCACTTCTGCCTCCTGCATCTGCCTCCCTAGTAGCTAGGACCACAGTTGTGTACCACCACACTCTGCAATTTTATTTTTTTCTTTTATTATTATTATTATTTGAGAGATGGAGTCTCCTTATGTTGCCCAGGCAGCTCAGCTCCGCCCCCCCCTTTTTTTTTTTCAGACGGAGTCTCGCTGTGTTGCCCAAGCTGGAGTGCAGTGGCAAAATCTCCACCCACTGCAACCTCTGCCTCCCAGGTTCAAGCGATTCTCCTGCCCCACCCTCCTGAACAGTTGGGATTTACAGGCGCATGTCACCATGCCAGGCTTTTTATTTTTTTGTAAGTAGAGATGAGGTTTCACCATGTTTGTCAGGCTGGTCTCAAACTCCTGACCTCGTGATCTGCCCACCTCAGCCTCCCAAAGTGCTGGGATTACAGGCATGAGCCACCTTGCCAGGCAATCATTTTGTTTAAAGCCAATTTAACATTTAAAGAAAAGTCATCAGGCCGGGCGAAGTGGCTCACGCCTGTAATCCCAGCACTTTGGGAGGCTGAGGCAAGTGGATCACTTGAGGTCAGGAGTTCGAGACCAGCCTGGCCAACATGGCGAAAACCCATCTCTACTAAAAAATACAAAAGTTAGCCACGTGTGGTGACAGGCACCTGTAATCCCAGCTACTTGGGAGGCTGAGGCAGGGAGATAATTGCTTGAACTCAGGAGGTGGAGGTTGCAGTGAGCTGAAATCGCACCACTGCACTCTAGTCTGGGCGACAGAGACAGACTCCGTCTCCAAATAAATAAATAAATATTATCAAACAAAAATCAAAACTCTAGATTTTTCTCATGCCTATTTGCCTTTTAGTACTTTTCTCATTAGCACTGCTGGGGTGGGAGAAGGGGTGCGCCTCCCTCTCTTCAGCCCTAGAGCCTGTAAAGGGTCTAGACCAGCCTCCGAGGGCGTGGAGGGCGTGGGGGCAGTTGTCAAATTTAGTGTGCTCAATCATTTCCTGGTGAAGCTTATTTTAAAAGCTGCCCCTAGGAGGAAGACGAGCACCATTACACTTGGGCTTCCCTACCTTCTAGGACCCTCCGCCCGCTGCAAACTAGATGCTCTAGTAGGATGGGAACCGGCGGCGGGGGAGGCGGGGAGCAGCTTTGGGCTTCCTCTAAGCGCCTCTTTAACCCGGACGCCCGTTGGAATCACCTGGGGAGCTTTAGAAACTACTGATGCCCAAGCCCCACCCCGAATGATTCCGACTTATTCGGCCTGGCGCGAGGCCTGGCTCCCGGGCTTTTAAAAGCTCCCCGGGGATTCTATTGTCCGCTGGGGCCGGGAGCCCGTGCTCTACCGGGATTCCGATGGGGAGGGGTGGCTTACCCCAGTAGTTCTCAAATTTAGTTTCGGTTCAACAATTTGGTTGGAACCACCGAGCAAACATCAAAAAATCCTGATGCCCAGGTCCCAACTCAGAGACTGTGTGATCCGGGCTTGGGAAATTCTGAAAGAGCTCCAGGTGACTGCCATCTGCAAGCGAGTTTGCAAAGCTCTGATGCCCAGGTGCAGCGGGGGCGGGCGTAGCGCGCGGCTCTCGCCACTGGGTGGCGCTGCCCGCTCGGCCCGGCGCTCCTGGAGCTGCGAGCCGCCGCCGCGGTGAGCGCACCTGCCCCTCCTCCGCCAGGCGGGCCGCGGGGCATGCAGCGGGCCGGGGGCGGGGCTCTGACGCCCGGGCGCAACTACGGGCTCCCAGGCAGCCTCCGCCAGCTGGACCTCGCCGCCCTCCTGATGCTCCTCGTGGACGCCGACCGGCCGGAGCCCATGCGCAGCGGAGCGCGCGAGCTCGCGCTCTTCCTGACCCCCGAGCCTGGGGCCGAGGTAGGGGACGGGGCTGTGGAGTTGCAGGAGAGGGGTCTCGCGGTTGGGGGTCCGGGCTCCAAATAGGGAACCTCGGCTTCGCCGGAACATCCTCTCGCTCTCGGAGTTGGGGGGGGTCCGGGGATTCCCCTTTCCTGGAGGGTGGCTGCGGGGCGCCACCCAGAGATGCGCAGCGGGTCGCCCCTGCTCCCTCCTCCGGGCGACACCGGGCCCCGGAGGCCCAGACTCGCCTTCCCTCCCCACCCAGGTCCCCCAGCATCCGCTGGGTCCCGAGACGCCGCCCTTCGCCAGGCCGGCCCTGGGGGAGAGGGACCCCGGGATCGCCCCTGCCCTGGCTGTCCCCGAGCGGTGCCCCGGTCGAGCGGTGCCGCAGGCTGCGGCTGTGCGGGGAGCCCCGAGGCCGTGCTGCGCTGCTGCAGCTCGGAGCGAAAACACCACGCCTCTGTCTGCGCTTTCTATTTTAAAAGCACCAAATGAAAAGCAGATCCAAAACGAGACCCTCTACCTTCCGGCTGAAGGCATCTGTCGACGGTGCTGTGAGAAAGTTATTTACCCGAGTTCACTAGGAGTTATTTACGACCAGAAATTCAACCCATTTTCTTTTTAAACCACAAAAGCAGTTCGAGAGTATTTAAAATAAAGGCTGTGCACCCCTCTCTCTTTTCTCTCCCACCCTAATTCTAGTTTTCTTAGAAGACCAGCATTAACGGTTTGGTGTAAATCATTCTGGACGTTTAAAGTGCATTTATAGGGCCAGGCGAGGTGGCTCACGCCTGTAATCCCAGCACTTTGAGAGGCCGAGGCGGGCGGATCACGAGGTCGGGAGATCGAGAGCATCTTGGCTAACACGGTGAAACTCCGTCCCTACTAAAACTACAAAAAAATTTAGCCGGGCGTGGTGGCAGGCGCCTACAGTCCCCAGCTACTCGGGAGACTGAGGCAGGAAAATCACTTGAACTCAGAAGGCAGAGGTTGCAATGAGCCTAGATTGTGCCACTGCACTCCAGCCTGGGTGACAGAGCGAGACTTGGTCTGGGGAAAAAAAAAAAAAAAAAAAAAGGCACTACAAATGTAGATTTGTGTATATCTGTATATGTCTAGGCAAAGTATTGGCTCATACCAGTGTTCTCAGCATTCTGGGAGGCTGGGGCAGGAGGATGCCTGAGGTGGGGATGGGGATGGTGGACAGGGGAAGGTTGAGGCTGCAGTGAGCCTTGGTCATGCCACTGCACTCCAGCCTGGGCGACAGAGTGAGACTCTTTTTACAAACTCTGCCTCTCCAGGTGCGGTGGCTCACACCTGTAATCCCAGCACTATTGGAGGCCGAGGCTATCGGATCACGAGATCAAGAGTTCAAGACCGGTCTAACCAACATGGTGAAACCCTGT